GTGGGGGTTCAAGAGACTCTATGAGTGAAAACCTGTGGGTCATCTTTCCAGGTTATAAAGCAGAATAGGGGAGAGCAGAGAGAATTTACACAGAGGCAAAATGCAAGCTATACAGCATAACTGTGTTTGCAAAGGATGTACATTCATCGATAATTCTTAAACCACCTATTCCCTGTTAGTGACCTCTTATAGTGTATGAAAATAATAGTTAAGTAAAGCAAGGGCTTCTTATTTTCCCCGCCAGCTGAAAGTAAAACTATATGGAGAAATGATTACAAGTATTAAGTTTCATGGATTTATCTCTGTGGTCTAAGTCAAAACACCTTCTAACATTTCTCAGTCATGGGTTGATTATGCACTTTATCAGCAGTCTCAGTGTAAAATATAATGAAAGGACTTTTGTCACATTGGTCATAGAAAAATCTTCTCATTTCACTTTCTTGTCTTCCATGTCCCAAGGGGTTTAAGGGGACTTTGTGGACTCAGTTGCTCAAGCCAATAGCAAAGCTGTTTGAATGTAATGTATAATTAAATGGACAATTATCACAGTCATCACAATCCACACAGCCCATAGCCTATTGCTTAGTTACTATGCCAAAATGTGATCAATCAAAGAAAAGTCTGAACAAAGAAACAAGGGAGTTGGAGCAAATGACTTAGCAGTTGAGAGCACTCATGTACTGCTCTTGCAGAGGACTTGGGTTCAGTTCCCAACATACACATGACAGCTCACAGAGGTCAGTAACATCAGTCAGTGCTCACTTCAGAAAACATGTACTTTCATTTGTGCAAGGGGCAGAGATTATGCAACCAGCACCTGAGAGGATCAAAAAAAATACACCTTACGTCCAGGACACAAAGGGAACCATTCTTCTAGGAAAGGTCCATGATTACACACCATAAAAATGGCACCAAACTAAGGTTGGCATCTGTTATCAACTTTTCTTACTACAAAGAAGAGTATCTCCCTCCATCTCGTCAATAAAACTTGTCTACTATCACTCCCATTTTTTAAGTTCACAATTTCTATAATTTAATATGGTTTAAAAATAAAGCAGACTTTCCATAGAAATTTGGCTCCACTTTCTAAACCTAAACAGAGTTTTCTGTGAAAACTGGACTACTTAAAATATACTGGACAAACTATGTATGGTGACATTTAGCGCAAGGAGCCCAGCAGTTTGAAACCAGCCTGGGCAAGACCCACTTGAAAAAAAAAAAAAGAAAAGAGAGATTTGTACAAGAGAAAGATGAGAGAAAAGAAAAATGAACTTCAGGACAAATTGAAGAAGTGGAGTAAAGAAATGAATTTAGAAAGAGGGAGAAAACCAGTTCACTTCTGTCATCCTTGTACTTAAGAGGCTGTGGCAGGAGGATTGCCATAAGCTCGAGGCCAGTCTGGGCTAAAGAGTGAGACACCATGCCAAATTCATCTTTTTGAAAAGGCGGAAGAGGAAGAATGAGCAAACAAAGCAAAGAATGGGAACCTATTACTAGTGTATGAAATAAAAAATACTAAGGAAACAAGTGAATAATTTTCTAGTGAGATTAAGAGAAAGGATGGTTATGCCATGGATCATCTTCTGGCCTGCCCCAAGGGTGAGAATATTGCTAAACTCCTTGAGTAGTCACACAGACCTACCAATGACCTCACTCCCATTTCCTACCAAATGAAAGATGCCCCAGTCTTAATCCAACCTAGGATTTTCCAAACTGCACATGAAGATACTGTTCAGACCATCAGCATTTAAATACATGGAAACGGATAAAAGAAAAAAAAAAAAAAAAGGAAGCCCTTCAGTCCATAGGAATTTCCACCAAGATGCCCTGGCCTGATGTTACCCCAGGTAGGCCTAAGTAGACTCCAAGAAGCTGGCAGCAAAGAGCTACCAAAGCAATTCTGTGTCGAAGCTCCTTTAGTAGGGAACATTCCTGTGGTGGTTATGGTGATATCTACTGGTCTAAAAAAACTCAGCTTCCTCCAATGCATGAGTAACCTGTAGAATCTGCTGCAGTCTGTGCTGTGCCTCGGTGGTTTGAAACCTAAATTATTCCCTTTGTCTCATTGTCTTTTCCCCCCATTCTGAAGAGTGATTGCTCTATGCCCTCTCCCTGTATCTGCTCTCATGTTCTCACCCCTTAATTCCATTCTTACCTTAGTTTGGGGCGGGGGTGGGGGTGGGGGGTTTGCTGTTTGTTTGTTTGTTTGTTTGTTTGTTTGTTTGTTTTTGTGTTTTGTTTCACCTGCTCGTTTTTTTCTTGTTTTGTTTTGAGTTTTAGCTTTGGCATTGTTATATTAACTTCACATGCTTCAGAGCAGAGTACATGAATACTGAACAAATCAATATTACAAAACATGCCCTGGTTTAAGGATCTCACAGAACAGAGAGAGAGAGAGAGAGAGAGAGAGAGAGAGAGAGAGAGAGAGAGAGAGAGAGAGAGTTGGAAAACAAAATATGATGTAATTAAACACCATAAAATAAAAGCCCAAATAACCACAGCTTCAAAGGTAGTGGGGTGACACACAGGTAGGAGAAATGTAAAATGGGGTGAGCATTGTACAATTCAAGCCAATACCTAAGGAGCTGAGGTTGTGGTAGGAGTCCTGAAAATCAAGGCGGGGTGAGGAGAAGAGTTGCACGGGCTGATCTGTGTCCTTGGGTGTGTGTGACATCTCTCTTGGTGCCCCCACCCTGAATATACATGACGCATCACTACAACTCTCCTAAAACCTCTTCCTTCTCCTCCCTTCACGTTAGAATCCCACACTATCGGTTTAGTATAACCAATGAAATGATAAGGTTCCACGTATGAGAGACACAGATGCAAAAATCCTAGAAGGGTTCTGTCCACTGGATTCGGGACTTCGTTCTTTTGAACCCCAGTCTGTGTTAGCACGACCAAAAGTTGTTTTCCTGAGGAAGCCTGGCGTCACATATCTGTGATCAGAATCCCGTAAGAAGATTTGGAAGAGGCAAGTTCAGGAAATGTTCAGAGTCTGTTACTTTAGAATACTGTTTGAGGGAAGCCTGGGAAAATGAAGGGAGGGAGGCTAGAAAGAGCTTGGAGCCAACGCAAGGGTGATGGGTGAAAAAATCTCAAAGTAACTGTGAGTCTACCACAAACTAACTGTGAGTCTACCAAAAAGGTTTGGGGGAGAGGGGAGTCAATATAACTGAAATGACATAAGATGTCACATAATTACCAGTCAGGAAACTGGATACCAAGGGACAAATATGTCGTGATGTGTTTAGCATGGAGATAACCTCTAAAATCACTGAAAGGGGCTCCATGCCTTCCTCAGATCTACCTAGACCCACGTAGACTGTAGACACATGTTTTAAAGGAGAAACAAAAGACGGCAGGTAGGCTAGGTGCACCCTTGGGGGAATGCAAGCCAAACCTTATCGGGAAAAACAGGTTGCTGTCTGACATTCTTGCCCCCATCAGCAATTACTCCTGGGCCCTGCAGCAAGGGAATCTGCCTAAAAGTTTCCGAGCAGAAAAGCAGTATAAATGAAGTGACCTGAAAGACCACACAATTACCAGTCAAGAAGTTGGTTCCCTACAGGGCAAGGCAAACGAGCTGGCACGGCAAAATCAGCCATCATTTCCTTTCTCTTGTCCCTTGGAACTATACCAATTCAGTGACCAAATTGGGATCTTCTGCCTATGCAATGTCTAGCTGCTGATCAGAATCACGTCTGATGTCACACCAGATGAATCAGGCTTTGGCATCTTCCCACATCACTTCGAGAAGTAGCGATGGGAAAGGGGGGGGGGGGGGTTGGATGCCGCGTCCCAGGCAAGTTATTATCATAGTTTAAGTTTAAAACTTGCAGAGGTCCAGAAAAGTACTTGAAAGTCTTTAAAGTCATCAGCTAAGCGGATGCTTTCTCATACCCTCCTGCTGCCGCTGCAGTCTTTTATCCCTAGTTCCAACGCTAGCGCCGGAGAGCTGGGTCCAGCTGTTGAAGATGTTCTGGGAAAAGTTCACCCTGGCGCCAATCTATGCTTTCCCCGCATCATTTACCAATCCCTGTGCTCCTTCCCTGGCTCAGCGTGGTCTGTGACATTTGCAGGGACTCACGTGGAGCGCCCAACCTCATCGTTCTGAACGATGACTCCTAGGAACTTCCCAAGGACCAGATTGATGCAGGCTCTGACACGCAAGAGAGGGGGGAGTGAGCTGAGTGTTAGGAGGGCCTGGGGCAGCCGGCTGAGCTCCAGCAGAGTAGGGGTTCATCTCCACAGCTGGTGGAGACGAACAGTCGATTTTGGTCTTCACTCCCTGCTCCCAGTACTGGCGCTGCTCCAGTCAGAAGGCTGCTAGACATCCTCTCAGGCGCTCTCCCTGATTCACTTGGCTGCTCCTCTTGTACTCCCTTTCCTGGAGCTACAAGGGTTTGAAGTACAAATCCGAACCCGCCATCTAGATCGTTTCTCCATCCCTGCCACTGGTGCTGGGACACATACCTGAGGCGATCCAAAGTTTCCCAAGCTGGTTGCGGGAGCGGGGTGGGCAGGGAGCCTGAGCTGCCGCAGATCAGCAGCAGGTCAGAAGCTGTGCCTGCCCCAGGAGGTGAGCGTGCTGGACAGGTCCCCAGCGAGCTTATCGCTGCAGACCAGACCTCACTGTGCACCTTATGAGACCCCACGACTCCTCGTGGAGCATCTCCACTCCACAAAGGCCTAGATAATGGAGTTATGAAGGTGGCTGGGTGCTTGCCTTTATGCTTTTAGAAAATCATTACACTTTTAGAATTGGATAGAGGAGTCCCCAGTCCATGAAGTACCTCCCCACTACCACCACCACTTTTCCTTATCAAACTTGCGTGCTCGTCCTGAAGTTTTTGAGGATGAGACTCATTGGACATTTCCTCATATATTTCAATCTTTCATTGTTCCTGTTCCCACTGTTGTGGCTACAGTTCCCCCAATACCAGTCTAATGCCTTCAGTAAAAGTTATCTTAGCCCAAGGCTTCACTCACTCTCCAAAATGTATCATGCATTGAACACCGAGTTCCTCGGTAGCCATGAAGAGGGAAAACACCAACTCCAACTCGATAAAGGAAATGTTCAGGGTGTGCAGGATGGCAAAGCATCAGTAACAATTCCTTAGAGCAGCTGTGGGTGGCTGAAGGTGTTTTTCCCTTCTGCAGAAAGGATCAGTCACAGAAACTGCCCAGTAGGAGAAAGATGTCAAAATGATGATAGGGTATCCATCTCTAATAGCACATAACAAGCATGTAACAAGTGTTCAGGGTAAAGCTAAAAAAAAAAAAAAAAATGAGAAAGGTGAGGGAAATTCCTGATGATTTTGCTACTGTTAAATTCCATAGATTTTGGCTAGCCCTATTTCTTTTCTTTTACATCATCAATTTAGAATTCTATAAAGAAAGAATGACATCAAAGAAAATCATTGGCCTAGAAGAAAAGAGCCCGTAGGCGTTTAGGTGTTATATATATGGAGCCAGAAAGCACTGGAGCATCAGGGAGACTCCAACCTCAGGCAACAGCATGGGTGAATACGGACCTTGTGTGGACTGGGAAGGGGAGGTGAGGGCTGGTGCCTGAGCACAGTCCTCGCATGTCTAGAGGCTGTCCATGCTTGGAGGGGAAAGTTCCATGGGAAACAGTTGGCACTGGGCTTCAGTGAACATTTTCTTACTGTGTGTCTTTTCAGTTCTTCTCAGGGACCTCTTCATCTTGCAAGTTGTACGGTTGGTGCTAACTTACAACTTTTCTAACTGTAACTTCGAGGAGATTTCAAATATATATTCTGAAGCAATTTTTCCTGACCTGAAAGAATATTTGAATGGGGTAAGTGAAAAGATTTTTTTTTTGAAGTATATATATTCTCATGGGGGAAAAAAGGGTAAAGATACATGTCACACAAGCCATAATTCAACTTTCAAGGAAAGGAAAATAATTTGGAAAAACTATCCCAAAACTTTCTTAGAAGTGGCATTTGAAATACCTTAGCATATAAAATGTGTATCCTCATGGCTTTTATGGAGCGAGCAGAAGCTGGTAATGGTTATGGATATTGGTTTACTCCTTGTTACAAAGCGGGAATCCTTGTGAGATAAGAACTCAGGGGTGAGGAGCTAAGAAGTGGAGCTGTGTTTTATAGCTTTCTAGTGTTCTAGAAATTTCAGGATACGGTTATGAGATGAAAAAGTTTAAATTTTTAAAACATGTAGTAGTAACTGTTTCCCTGATAATCCGCATCCTTAGATACAGTGTGAGTGAGTGCCAAGTATGAAAGGCTATAAAAGCAGTTTGTAGACATTGGAAGAATGGTCCTTGGCTGGAAGTGGCTTGTAAGCGCTAGGTGCAGGTATGCATGCTTGGGTGGGCTAGGGCTCCCTCTGAAAGCTAGCAAAAGCAGAAAACTAAATGTTTCACCACCTTGTCCATCACCTAGGGTCAAGTCACTGGGTCGAAACTACTTTTAGAGATCTCTGGAAGCCTGGAAGCAAAGGGCCAGGGAACGATTTTTCTCTCCAACTTAGATCTTGATCCTAATTTGCTTTCTTCCAGCGCACATTCAACCAAATCGAGGTCTGTGACAACTTGGTGAGTAGAGTGGTCAGCAGTGCTGGCTTTCCCCGGGAGTGGCGGGCATCCGGGAAGGGAGTCGGGGAAGAGCGCCAGGCTGAGCTCCAGGACAGGCTGCCTGCTGAGCCGATAGGAGACCTCTGGGCTGCCAGAGCAAGGCTGTCGTCAGTCTAGGACGCCACTTCTCCGTTTAAAAGGAGAAAGCAGTAGGAACCCGCTTCAGCCCCGGAGGTAAAAAGGGCCAATGGGAAACCCGGAGGAACGAAGTCGAAACACCTCCCGGGGTCCGGGGCATCTACTGTCAGCTCTGGCTCTTGACAACTACTTGGGAGGCTGGGCGGAGCCGGCAGGGGAGGAAGCCCTTCCAGTAGGCGCTCTCGGCTACCCTTGCCAGGCCCCTCCCTCCTGGGGGTTGATTCCATTTCCCTCTCTCAACCCAGGCTCTGGATTCTGATCCCTGACTCCTTCGTCTGTCTTCCGTTCCTCTCCCCATCCCCCTTCTTGCCCCCTTCCATTCAGTTTTTTAATTTCTGGCGTTTTCTTTGCTCCCTGAACTCTGCCGCTTGTGAGCAGACAGATTGTCTCATGAAAATCGAGTACCATACTCTCAACCCTATCCCCGGCTGCCCGTCACTCCCCCAGAAAACATTCGCCTTGAAAACGAAAGGGGCCCTCATTAGCCAATGCCCAGGCTACTCTGAAACTCAGGTAAGCCCAAAGCATCAAATTCTAGCTTTGCAATGAGTGGGAAGAAGAGAGACATGAATTAACTTGGGGCTTTAAGAGCAGGGATTTTTTTTTTTTTTAATTCTGATTTTATCTTATCGGGAGCTTACCTTGACTGAGACACCCAAACACAGTCTACTATTAGAGTTATAATACTATTATATTTAGAGTTCTATTATTTTGTTGTTCTTTGGTTTGAATTTTGGTTCTGAATCCAAGTCGGTGTTTCAAGGTGTGATCCGTGATCCTCTCTCCTACGTTAGCAGCTTGTCCTCCTGGCTCCTTAAATATAATAGTTCAAAAACCCAATTCCAGGGCACACAATCCACACCTCCAAAATTCCTGGTTTTGGTGCCCCTTAAAAGGTTGCTGTTCATTCTGTGCCTAAACAGTCACTTTGTAGCGATGTGCTTTTCCTTAATATTTACATTCCTCCCCACCCTAGTCCACTTCGGCCACTTCGATGCTTGTGTGGATGGAAGTGCAATCTCTTTTCATAGATTATTTGTGTATGCAGTTAGATATAGATGTGAATGAGAGGGGAATTAAGAGTAGGGGCAACAGAGACAGCCTGCCTGACTTTGAGCTGCAGAGATTTGGATAAAGTATTTAGCCTGGGGTGCTTTGGTAAAGTAAGTATGATACTATTGCATCCTATGCAGGGCTATTATGGGAACTAAATGAGTCAGCACATGTGAACGAAAGCATTTAGAACAGTGCCTGGCACATAATAATAGTTCCTCAACATTTGCTTCACTTGGCAAGTAGAATATTTGTTTTCATGATATATGTATATGTAGACACACATGTAAACTTGTTAACTTAGTGGACTTTGTCTGTAACTTGAATGTAAATGTAAATAAGACTGTCATGTTTTAATCAGGCTGGAAGTGGAAGCCACCTAGGTTGAGCTTGCATGAGAAAAACAGTACTAGACAGCCATATGAGAAACCTGTTCAGCTCTCTGCCTTCTTTTCATGGAAACCCCAATAAATCTGCACATAGACACAATATAATTTATTAATAGATCCAGATCCCAAAAGACAGACTTGATTAACTCTGTAGACTTTGTGTGAAAAGGGGAGAATCTGGAAGAATTTATCCCAGCATCTTCCCAGCCCAGAGGTGAAGCCTGAGAAGACTGTAAGATTACTGTTTAATAACCCAGGAAATTCTATCCCTGGGTGCTCAGTCTGTCATGGCTCTAGGGCAATTCATTTGGAGAACTATCCCAGAATCCTCTTCAGAGTGGGCCTTTAGGTGTAATGAGGTGGATGTGTGAGTAAGAAAACCTTTGGTTTCGAAGAACAGACTGAGTTTGTTGAATTATGCCTACCAAGACACAAACGACACCTTGTGCCCTCTGGGAGCTAATCTTGTCAAAGAGATCGTGAAACTGCAATTTTATTCATTCATTTAATTATGCAATAAATGTCTAATGGGTCTTATGTATAAAACTCTGTACTCAGTGTTTTGGGGAATACCCATGATGCAATAGCAGTGAGAGCCAAGTGAAATGACACCTACTTTGAAGTCCAGAAGAGTTTCAGAAAGAACTCTCTGAGCCACAGGCAGAGGCTTTACGGAGGAGGTGCTGAAAGGCAGGGCATTCTTTTGGAGAAGCACATGCAATCATACAGTGAACAAGTATTTGGGGAATTTCTTGGGAAAGGGATATAAATAGTAACATAAGCTGTCACTCACCAGTTGTTAAAGATAGCAAAAACTAATGTTGAGCATTTTCTCCTATTCCATAGAGAAACAATCCTCAGGAAATGAAGCAAGAAGTCGAAAACATCTGCCTGAATCAAACTTCACAAATACAATGGCTGTGGTTTATGCTCCGTCAAACTCCAGTATAATAAACTTATCTTTCATTTTTATAGTATGAAAATATATCATGTTTTAGTAGATATAATACTAAGGGTGTGACATTTAAAAGAACACTAATGTTTAGTCTTTAATTACAGAAAGGATTCTTAACTTATTTTTGGCAAATTGCTACTGTTTAGTGTAGGAGCTTTAATGGGAGATGAGCACGGCCCCTCTAATGTCAATGGAAATATCTGCACTGTTGATGACCGCCTTCTGAGCAGGGTGTCTCAACTGCACCTGCAGACACCTCACTCTAGGGCAAACCTAAAAGTGTATAGAGAAGGGAATTGAAAGTGGAAAAAAAGGTTGGAACCAATGATAGCATCTAAACTCTGTTTAACAGCAAGAATTTTTCTATCTGTAATGATTCTTCTAACATTCTTATATTTGACTAAGGAGAAAATGGCAGCAGAGGAGATTGTACAAACAGTTATTGCCACAGTGAAGCAGTCTGAAAGAAGCTTGTAGAAAGTATGGCTGTGAATGCACTGTAAATCCAGCTTTAAAAGTGACCTAACAGACAACAGACCCTGAAGTGCCTCTGTGCAGCTACCAGACATATATTTAAAGTTGTGTGTAAAGTATTTCTAATTTATTTTATGAGGACTTTTGAAAATACACATGCTGCTTTGTAATGGACATATTTCTTAATAAAATAATTCTTGCGTTACTTTCTTGTGAACGGTGTTTTTAATTTGGTTAAGCAATTTTTACACATACTTTTCTGGGTGACTCACTGCTGTTATCATCTTTACCTCTGCTTGTGCCAACATCCCATTGGCCACACTTCCTTTTATATGCTACTGACCCTCCCTGCAGAAGAAAAAGTCTTCATAGATAGTTGGCTGGAAATATTTAGATATACGATTGGAATGCATCATTTTCCCATATCTTTTTACACTTGTCACTCCACACCATTCTGGAACATTCCTTGCCTCGATATAGATAAAACAGGCAAAGGTGAACAGTAGGTGTTAATTCTTTATGGTGCACCTGTTGGAAAGCACCCTCTCCTTTACCCTCAGATCTTCTTTCTGAACACTGGTAGGAAAGGCAACCCTGGATGCAGAGCTCAGGCCGAGTAACAGTATAAGGAAGCAGCTTCTCCTCGATCCCACTCCCCTGAGTAGAAATGTCCACCTGAAAATTGATTCGAGTGCTGAAGCTAAGCCATCAAAGAAAAGAAAAATCAAATGTCCCCAAACCTGTCTTAGTCACCAAAAAGGAGCTAACAATAAGCATTCGGTAACTATTTAAAAAGTGCCTACTGTGCTCCAAGGTTTCTGGGTTGAGGTTTGGGCTGACTACTTAGATACAAAAGTTAGTAAGATGGTGCCCATATCTAGAAAGGCCCAGAGGGGAGCTGAATGAGCAGTCATCAAAACTCCGTGGCGAACTGAGCAGTTAATTTCCTTTTGCATGGAGTTAAATCAGGACAGGCACACTTCTAAGAGTCTTCCTCGTAATTTCCTGCTGAGAGCTTTAAGTGTTGTCTGAAGAAAAACTCCAATGGGTCTAGAAAAGGACAGCATTCAATGGTTTTCTGAATAAAGGTTGTGGAGGGAGGGCTGATATTTTAAATATGTTAGCGCTGTCTTAATACAAGTACACTCTACCTTCTATTAAACTGTGAGGAAAAGGTAGCATTTTTTTTCTTAGAACTTTAGACCCAGTTACCCAACATGTAGAGAAGAATATCCTCTCTAAATATTATGAAAACCTGCTCTGAGCATTATGCCAGAAAACATCAAACTGTTCTGGGGTTTCTAGTATACTCTCTTTTCCAATAATCAATTTTTGTGTGTTAGTTATAGTTTTAGGAATATAGTCTCATATGCCTTGAGAAAATTACACAAGGGAGAGGAAGAAACAACCAAACAATTAGAGGAAACAGTGCCCATTGCTCACTCCAAGCAAGGAAAATGGCCTGTCCTCACCAGGCAGACTGGAAAATTTTGTAACCTATTAGGCTATGAGTAGGGTGTTGAACTGGTTAGTTTGAGGTCAACTTTACATAAACTAGAGTCATCTAAGAGGAGGGAGCCTCAGTTGAGGAAATGCATCCATAAGATCCAGCTGTATCCCTAAGTTGTGAGTACGGGAAAACTGTCCCCATTACTCACCTCTGTCCCCACACCCATCAACGCATAAGGCAAGTGGAAGAGCTGGACCTGAGGTCAAAAGGGCAGGAGAGCTGCCCCTGCCCACCACCAGATGTAGCAATTGGGAGAGCTGGCCCTGCACTCTGCCTGGGCAGCACAATAGAGTCAACCCCATTGGCAGAGGTGTGAGTAAGCCAGTCCCAATATTGTGAGCATGGAAGAGCTGTCCCCATTACTCACCTGTCACGTGACAGCATGGGTGGGAGAAAGATGTCCTTCCTCCCCCTATCAACTCCTGAGGCAAGCTCGAGAGCTGGCCCTGGCCCTCATCTGCTGCAGAACTCAGGAGAGTGGCCCCTACACCATGCTTAGGCAACACAGTAGAGCTGGCTCTGAGGGTGTAGGCGTGGGAGATCCCACCCTGAGGACATGAAAGCAGGAGGACTGGCCCTGCCCCTTGCTCATCACTGCAAAGGGTGAATTCACCAAGGTCGTGCAGGAGAGCTCACCCTGGTGGTGAGGACAACGGAGAGCTGGTGGGCTGACCAACCCTGCAACTACCCAGGCCCAGAACCAGGGTTATGGGTTGGACCATCCCAATATCCACCCCATCTATGATCTGCTGGAGCACATGAAAGGACCAATCCTGCAGACATAAAGCTACAGAATTTCCACAACACAGGGCAACAACTGGATATCCAACAGGAGTTCCAGTGAGGGCCCAGCACCTATAGTGTAGCAGAAACCAGAGGCCTTGAACCAAACCAATGACTCTCTGCAATGAACACTTGCAAGTAAAGATATATAGACTAAAGGGTTTACTGTGTGACTCACTGTGTCACACTAGAGCTTCCATGATGAGATTCCCCCTTTTTTTCTTTTTTCTCTTAAATTTTATTGGGGGGGGGGCGTGTTGCAAGGGCAGAGGGCAGATACTCAGTGATGGGAAATAAATGGGATCAAGATGCATGATGTGAAAGACACAAAGAATAAATAAAAAGAAAGTTTTAAAATAAAATCCAGTTGTAGATCATTTTCTTAATTAGTGATCAATTTGGGAAGGTCCAATCCTGGTGGTCCTGGCTTCTATAAACAAGCAGGCTGAGCAAGTCACAAGAGGCAAGTGAGTGAGCAGCATGGCCTCTCTATCAGCTCCTGCCTTCAGGTTTCTGCCCTTTGTGAGTTCCTGTCCTGACTTTCTTGAGTGATGAACAGTGACACAGAAGCCAAATAAACCATTTCTTCCCCAACTTGCTTTTTGGTCATGGTGTTTCATCACAGCAACAGAAACCCTAACTAAGACAGGTGCTTACAAACATCTTACCTTTGTATGGCAGTATAATTAGCCCAAGCTTCAATAATCTTACCTAATGAATACAAAAATAGAATTTAAAAGAACCTGTTCCTAAGAAACTTAGCTGTATTCCACAACAAACACCAGGATGCTTATGAAGTAAATAATGGCTCACACACATGTGAATGTACCCACACAAAGATACACATACATAATTAAAAACAAATCTTTAAAGACTAAAAGAAAAAGAAAACAAAAGGAAAGAAAGGAAGATGAAGAAGTATGAAAGGATCTTGAGAACAGAAAAGCCGTAAGAACAATTGTGTCCTGTGGTGGCACACCCTTTATCTGAAGGTTGAAGCAGACAAATCTTTATGTGTTCACACAGTGAGTTCCAGGCAGCCAGGGATATAGATTAAGACCTTATCTCAAAAATAAGAGGGAAAATATGGTTCTTGGTAGGTACAAAAGGTACTACTGACTCAGAAATAGTGTAGAAGTTTGAATTAGTAGGAGCAACGTTAAATTAATTACTGTAACTCTTTCAGAATGGTCAGGGAACAGAGATGCTCCAAGCTCAGCTTCTAGATATGAAAATCACAATGTGTAAAATAAATACCCAGTGAATAGTTTTAACCAGAGGTTGGTCATTGAACTATTAGAATTAAAGATATGCTAAGAAAACTTTCCTTAATAAAATATATATGGAAAATAATTAAAAATGAAAAGACCATCAGTGAGCCATGGAACAATCAGAAGTTCCTAATCTATGTATAGTAGGAACATCTCAAAGAGTGCAGTAAGAGGTACAGAAAAAGTCAGAGAAGGAAACATCAGTTCTCGTTTCCAGCATGATAAGTCTCTAACCCTGAAATGCCTAGAAACTCTCTAGAGTACACGAAGTAAAACCACCATGATGCTTAATGGATCAAATTGCCCCAAACCAGAAAATACTAATATCAGTGATGAGAGTTACAATGGTCTTCAGAATGTCTTCTTGAAATGTTTTCCCAAAGCCTTTGATTCTACTTCTTTGATCTTTACTGCTATGGTCTGCTTTTTTCACAAGTCATCTCATGCTAGTGTGTTGTTGCTCTTTTGGGGGGCCTGCCACCCAGCTCCCAAATAAATCACACAGGGAGGCTTATTCTTGATTATAAATGCCTGGCCTTAGCTTGGCTTGTTTCTTGCCAGCTTTTATTAACTTTAAATTAACCGGTCTGTCTTTTGCCTCTGGGCTGTTTCCTTTTCTGACTTCTGTATATCTATCTTACTTTCACTCTTACTCCATGACTTACTGTGTAGCTGGCTGGCTCCTGTTGTGCTTCTCTTTCTCTGGCTACTTCTTTCTTCCTCCCAAATTTCTCCTTCTCTGTATATTCTCTCTGCCTGCCAACCCCACCTCTCTCTCTCTCTCTCTCTCTCTCTCTCTCTCTCTCTCTCTCTCTCTCTCTCTCTCTCGTTTTGCTATTGACTATTTAGTTCTTTATTAGACCAGTCAGGTGTTTTAGACAGGCAGAGTAACACAGCTTCACAGAGTTAAACAAATGCAACATGAACAAAAGTAACATCACACCTTAAAATAATATTCTACAACAGTAATGTGTAGTAAACAGAAGTAAACATTGAGCAACCCTAATTACTGATTTCCACCTGTTAACATCTGTTATGTAGCACAGCTGGAATAATCCTTGTGCCTATTCTGACATTCTTTTTAAAAAAATATTTTTGATCTTCAATTACATTGCCTTTATTTTTAATTTTTAATTAAAATATAATTACATTATTTCTCCTTCCCTTTCATCCTTCCAGCTCCTCCTATACTCCCCATCTCTCTCAAATTCATGGACTTGTTTCTTTTTTGTTAATATTAAATCTGCTATTTGTAAATGCAACTTGCTTAGTTATTTAGTGTTGCTTGTAAGTATATGATTTCAAGACTGACTGCTTGGTATTGGATAGCCAAATGAGGACTCATCCCTGGGGAAGACAAATTTTCTTATTCTCCGCATTTAGTAGTCGCCTATAGTTCTTTGTCTAGGGGTAGGACCCCATGAGACTTTCCCCTTCCATGTTAACTAGTCTATTGGTGCTGTCCTTGTTCAAGTCTTGTTCAGGCTGCCATATTGTTGAGGTATTTGCTGGGTGAAATTTCCCTTTCATTTCTAGGAGATACAATCTGAAGTAGAGGCTAAGATTATTATATCATTAATATAACCAGTACTTGTGATACTATTCTGATTTTACAGATGTAAGAAAACATGTAGTTTGTAA